AGAAGTTTGGGGGTTCTAAATAGAAGATTGATGGTAGAGTTTGAACCCACAATACTAGTCCGAAAGACATTTCTACCTCCCCTTCCTTTCCACTGAGCAGTCAAACAATTTTGTTATAAGGGGTTCATAAGTTAATATACATATATATTTATTTAATTTTCTAATACAATTACATGATCTACAAAAAAGCTAGTGAATTCATCCGAATCCACAACCCCACCTAGCTCCGCCTCTGATCATTGAACAAATAATTAGAGTTATTACATTATAACTATTAGAATCTATCGAACATGCTAACATATAGAAGTATTTGATGTTCATTAATTTATACCATTGAACTGTCAAGAGAGCTGCAAGACATGTTTTAGAAGTTCTGAAGCCATGTTTTGCAGGAAGACAGTTTGATTATTGAAGTGATTCATGCTGCTTTTAACATCAAAAATGAAATTGCTTAAATTTTTTTTTGGCTCAAATCTCCTCATCTCAGCAACTTATATATAAATATATATATAGTAAAATTAATAATTTTTTTGTTAAATATACTTCTTGTTTAATGCAATAATGACTCTAGCTAGTCAGTGATCCCAAAGAGTCATGGACTCATGGTCTTCATAACAAAGTGACCAGTTAATTATCTAATTGATTATGATATTATGGGTAAAAACTATGTCATAAATGTCACTCTTGTAACACTATATCCTTAGAGGACCAAATCAATGATTAGTGAAGATGAGAGTATGAGGACTAAGGGAGTCAATTTTTTCCTTATGTTAGGTAACTTAGTACAAAATTTTAGCATCATCATAAAGTCTTTGTATATATGTTGTTGTAAGATAACTGATAAGTTTCAAGAGATCTTGATATAGTTGAGTTGTAACCAATTAAGTATCTATGCTAAGGTGCACATTGATAGACTAAAAGGACTCTATAACTTATATTTTTATTCTTTTTGTATGTTATCATTTTTAGTTCACAGTGCAAAGAAAGTATAATATATTATATCAAATTTATCATTTACAATATGTTATATTAAGTTTTTGGAATAAACATGCGAAGCATGTTCCCAAAACTAGTTCTATAAAAAGAGGCTCATTGCTTCTAAATTGGTTGCATCTGTAGTCCTAAGGGCTCTGAGAGTTTTATTTAGGGGATGATTTATGTGAGACACAAGTGGTACATTATCACTAGTGTGAGCCTCTTTTTAAATTGAGTTAATTTTGTGAGGTTATTTCTCTCGATATTTTGTATTTTTATTTATATAGTGGATTGCTCATATCCTTTTGCGGATTAGGTAAATTGACTGAACCTTGTTAAATATTTATGTTTCTTTTGACATATTTCTCATTTATCTTCTTACCCATTGTCTTCCTAGGTTGCTTTGCTAGTTTCCGCATGATACTTGATTATTTCTGTTATTCTGGAGTTGATGTTAAGTATTGATGATTTAACAAACTTAGGAATCCAACAAGGGACCAGATCCAGGAAAGGGTCTTCTGGTATTGGGACTAACGAAAAGGGAAATAAATGAATAAACTCAGCATGAGGAATATTTGTTTGTCATCATCAAAAAAGGGGAAAATGTTATATTCTAGGTGTTTAGATGATCCTCATCACAAATGCAAGGACCTGGTCCTTGGCAGAGTACTTCCGTCCAGATTCAAAGTGGTGCACAACTGTAAAGCTATCTTGTCAGGTTGGTTGGTGAGATGTGCAGTGTACTTCACCAATAGGAAGGGCGGACGAAGTTATTTGTTTAAGTGGTCAAAACCTTTGTTGGTAACTGATATATACAGCAATAAACAAACAACATTATTCATTCAAGAAGAGAGAGAGCTAGCAAGTCTTTTTCAAGAACTCAAGCATCAAAGAACGCAGCAAGGGACCTGGTCCCGGAAAGTCTGCGTACGAGAAAAGGACGAAGAGACAGCTGTCAAAAAGCTGCCAACTCTGATGTGGTTGGTGCACAACTTTTCATAACAGCAGGCTCTCAGCCAATAGCCTCGTCCCAAGGAGTTTGTGTCCTTTTGATAGTCTCTTCTCCAAAACACAAACTCAAGATTTGGCAAACAAAGTTGTGAATTTTTGAAAATTCATAAGCTCAAAAAGAAAAGGCCATCTTCAAGGAAGAACAATGCTCATGCTCAACAAAGGGACCTGATAGAGTGCTGAAGCGTCTTTGTTGAGTTGGAGCTTTGTGTCTATCATTTTATAAGGTTCATTTCAATAGACACAACCTTAGTTTTTGCTTCTTGAAAATTCTCAAGTACACAAGCAAAGACCCATTTTCGTGAAGTATCCTCCAAAAGAGCAACATGGACCTGATAGAGCTGCATTTGGCACAGTTGTCTTAGGATTCATACTTCAGTGCTTATATTGTAAATCTGCTCCTAATATGTAAAGGAATCAGATCGTTTGTTCTGGTTGTAAAAGGTCTAAATCGGTTAGAGTTAACTGATTTAGTGGGCAATGTTGTATCTACTCAGTCAAATTCTAAATCATCTAGGAGCTAGTTGATTTAGTGGGCAGTGTTGTATCTACTTAGTTAAAGTCTAAGTTATCTAGGAGTGATGGCTTAGTGGGCAGTCTGGTATCTGCTTAGGCTCAGTAAGTAATAGGCGTATTACTTAGCATTGAGATTAAGAGGTTAATCTCGTTGGTGGTGTAATCTGTGTTTCACTTTTGCTTGAGAAGATTAGTGAAAACAGGTGAAAATCCTGTGTGACATGTCGTAGTTTTACTCCCTTGAGCAAGGAGGTTTCCACGTAAACTGTTTGTGTTGTTTTCTCTTCATTGTTTACTCTTCATTACTGTTCTTGCTGTGTCAAGGGACCTGGTCCGTTGACTGATAGTGGACGCATATATTCTATCAATTTAAGTCAAAATTAAAAGAAAATATCAGTCATTATCTATAAATAGGAAACTTGAGAGAATTATTCAATGCTCATTAATATTTGTTTTTGAAAGACATTAGCACATAGAGTGGGTTTGGAGAGAACTTTCACTGAGAGAGAAGAGAGAAGATAATGGTTCTTTTCGCTTTGAATCAATTTCAAATGGATCCCATTTCCATAATACATCATACAAAAGACAAAATCATCATACAGAACACGACTCTCTACTCATACAGAACACGACTAACACATTTTTATCTTACTCATACAGTGTTGGATTGGACAATCTTGGAGTAGGTAAAGCCACCAGAGGCATTTTCTTCTTCAAAATAATACTGAACTTCTCTGTAACGTCCAATGTTTCTCCTTCGGGCAATTTCCAGTCGAAAGAATGAATGAGTGAAGCCAGTGAATACATGAACATCCTCTCTGTCATGCCTATCCCTGCACACATTCTTCTTCCAGAACCAAATGGGAAATAGTTGAAATCATTTCCACTATAATCCCATTTATTGTCCAAAAATCTCTCTGGATGGAACTCTGTTGGATTTTTCCAGATAGAACCATCTCTTTATATAGCGCCATACATTTATGAAAACACGAGATCCTTCAGGAACAGTGTATCCTCCAACAGTGACTGTCTCACTAGGACAATGTGGTATCAATAGTGGAGCAGTTGGATGTATGCGCAACACTTCTTCCATAACTACATAGAGATATGGTAATTGCTGAATATGAGATTCTTCCACAATATTATCCTTTCCCACAACTGTATCTACTTCTTGTTGTAATTTTCTCAGGATGTCTGGTTTGTTCATAATATCGGCAATGGCAAACTCAATCGTGTTGGAGGTTGAGCCAGTTCCACCGAGAACCATTTCCTGTCCATAGTACTTGTGAAGTTGTTATCATGTTCAACAATTTTTTAACTGTAGAACATGGTAGCAACTAACAGTTCAGGACATGAATATATGAATCTAATATTTATTACTCACCCATCACAAAAATTCGTCAATACATTTACTATCCTAATGTCAATTTATAAAGCATTTGATCATCTTATTATGACTTATATCACTATATTCAAATTTTTCATCCGTAACAGCCTAGCATGTAAGGAAATGGACTATTTAAAGTAAAAAACTTTGTAACCAGGACCACATGTAATGAAAGTAATATTGCAAGCAGAAGAACGCAACCAACAGCCCAGGACATGAATTTATGAATCTGATTCTTCTGAAATTAATTTCCCATATGCCACAATAATTTTTCTATACATTTACAATCCCACTATCAATGTCATTTAATATGAAAAAGAAAAGATCTGCCATCATGATCAGTGTAAGCCAGTATGAATGGTTGAAGACAAATGCAATCTTGGCTACTCAATAATAATACAGTGACTATTTAGTAGAGGAAGATTTCTTTTTGGAACAAGCAAATTTAGTAGAATGCACAACTGATAAAACATACCATAAGTAAGGCTTTGATTTCAGTCATGGTCAGATGTATTTTGGGATCTGCTTCATCTTTCAACTTTAGAAAAAGTCTGTGCTTTCGTGGCAAACACCATTTCTGTCCAATTTTTGTCTTTGATCAATTATGCTCTCAAATATCTTATAAAATCTCTTTGCCAACACCTTCATCTTCTTTGTAACATCCTGGAAATCGAACCAGGCAAAGCCGGGGTAAAAATCGGAAATATTGGGAATCTGACCAACTCAACTATCTCAGTCACGACATGCCTAAACTCAGCTCCAAGACTAGCTCTCTCCTCACCCTTCACTGTGCCACCCCATAACATGCTTGTAATCACATTAAGCATAGTCAAGAACATCTGTTCACCAACATTCACAGGTGATCCTGCCTTGTTATAAAAGTAATTGATCGATTGTCTAAGCTCCCTTCTCCTTAGTGGATAAACAGAATCTAAAGTAGAACTACTAAGCATATCGCGAACACAAACCTTCCTCAACATGCGCCATTTCGGTCCATAAGGATTCCAAAGTATGTCATTGCCACCATATGAAATTTCTCTTCCAGCAGCAGACACATATCTGTTAGCAAAAATGGTATCTTTATCCTTAAGGACCTCGCGAGCTAAGGCAGGAGAAGTAATAATGATCCCAAGTTTTTTACCAAGCCAGAGTCTACAAATGGGGCCATAAGTTTGGGAAAGAGATGCAAAATATGTATGAATTTCAGGATCAAGAGAATGGAGATTACCTATCAAGGGTAAAGCTTTAGGCCCTGGTGGCAGTCCCTTGTTTGAGTTATTGATGAAACACCAAAGAAGCCATAGTACAGCTAATATACCAAGGAAATAGGAGGAAAATATACCCTTTTGCTCAACATTGAGTTGTTGAAGGAGCCATGGGAAAGAATCAGAAAGTTGTTGAAGAATTTGAGAGACATCTGAAGCATTTGCACCGCTTAAAGATTTTATTTTTTGATTCTGCTGAAAGGTTGAGATAATTTATATGAAGACAAAAAAAGCAGTACGATGAAAACGAAGTAGAGTCACCTACCCTGAATCTCGTGATGTTAATTGAAATGGAGAAAGTACTTTGTTTGGTAGTATAAGAAACTTGGAAAGGAGCTGTCACACCCCAAATCCGGATGTGATGGCACGTGTCCATTTTCCACCGGACACGTCAGCCTAACCGAACCACAACGATAGAGAAATAGAAATACGAGAATAAAAGATGATAAATAAGCGGAAGACTTTAATTAAGACTCAACACTACCCAGAATTTGGTTGTCACATGTACAAACCTCTAAATACAGAATTCGAATAAAAATATACAAGTCTCAGAGTATAGTTCTCGAATAGAACAAAACTGAAAGTAAAGATAACTTAAGGGCACGTCTGGAATGAACCGCTACCTCTCGAGTATGTCCCGAAGCTCAATCTGCTAAAGAAAATACTAAGCCGAATCTGAGAGAGCTATCAACCTACACAATTGTGTAGGAGCAAGGGTGGGTACCGAAAACCACAGGTACTCGCAAGTAACTCTAAACTAAGCAAAACTAGCAGCTATAAACAACTCCTTTCAATCCCAACCGAACCACCGAAACTTCAATCTAGCAGCAAACCAACCAACCTATACTAAACAGATCATATTCAACAGCCAGAACCAACAGTATATCCTTATCAACCTCAGATCAACAAATAAGAGCAAGTAGATCAAATTCCACATAAGAAGGGTAAACTGATACAATCCACACATCACTGACAAAGATAAGACAAATGAGATGCAAAATGCAATAATGATGTCATGTAGTCGTGATGCATGTCTGTCCTACGATACACATCTGTTGACGTAATCAGTCCGCATTGAATACTCAAATCAGAACCCATGGGGGCCACACATGGACCATGTATCACCGTCGGAACCGGATCCCATCGGCATCCAAATCGCTAGCCGGAGCTAGTCTCAACTGTGTCTCATATTCATCCATCCTCATATCAATGTCTCAGAACTCATGCAACAGATAGTTCACACATGGGATGAATAATGAATATGCACATGTCATCAATCACAATCATATCACGATCACATCATAGTATTACACATCATCTGTCTCAATCACAACCATATCACAACCACATCATAGTATTACACATCACCTGTCTCAATCACAACTATATCACGACCATATCATAGTATTACACATCACCTGTCTCAATCACAACCATATCACGACCACATCATAGCATTACACATCACCTGTCTCAATCACAATGTCTGTATCAATCATAGCCTACTCATGCTCTTCTATCCCCTCAATATCAGTTATCACATGACTTATTCAACAAATTCAAGTCACATATAACACATTTAGCTCGTTTTATTCCCCATCTTTCATTTACAACAATTTCAATCAACAAATAAAACCCATCCTCAATCCCCATTACTCCCCAACACAATTAGGAAAGTAGTCATGCGTAGTCTAAGAGTTTTACAAAGTTTAGAAGCCACTTGCCTTAAAACGAACTCCAAAAGTTACTTGACTTGAGCCTTTCCTTTCAGAGTATAATCCGGATCACGATAATCTATTCAAACAATTATTCACAATCACAATTCGAGTCCAATGACACCAAAATCAAGAAATTTAGGGAAAAGGGGCAAAACGGTCCAAAAGTCTCATACCGGAAAACGATACCCAAATCTGAAATTTTTTTATGTAAAATTATCCTTAAAGTATTTGGAAGCTAATGGTGAAAACCAATTTGAAAACGGAGTTGAAATCAATTCACAAACTCAATTTGAAGGAAAATCCACGTTCTTGAAGAAGCCTAAAATATTCGGATCCGAAACCCCGACTCGAAAATGAAATATCTCTTAAAAAAACATCTTACCCATGCTTAGATAAGTTCAAATATGAAATTTCATCAAAAACGGAGTTAAGATCGACCTTGAAATTCTCAATTTATCAAACTTTAACTTTACCGGGAAAGTCCAAATTGTACGCGGTTAATATGATGAAAATAATCAATGAATCAATAATTTTATGTGAAAATCAGTTTACCCATAACATAAGGATCGTAAATATACCTTTTTCATAAAAAAGGGAGTCCAAATCAATAAAACCCCAATTTTTTCCAAGATATTTACGGATAGGAAAAAAAACCAGATAAAAAAATTATGAGAAAATGTCGAATTGAAGATTGAATACTAACCCTCATATTAATTCAAGAAGAAACCCATAAGAATCACTCCATTCCGATCTCTAGAACTCCCGATATGCTCAAAATACCAAATGAACACAGTCTGAGATTTTTATAACAGTACATGGCTGTTATGCACCAGAAAAACAGCAGTTAATCTTTCACTAAAAAGGCCGTAATTTCCTCATACGATAGTGAAATGACCCGATTCTTTTTGTAAATGTCTTAAATAATGATACGGACCTGTTCGTTCAATCGGAGCTCAATTTCATGCTCGTTTGCCCAGTCAAATATTATTTCTACTCGGTAAACAATTATTTCTTATTTGCGATAAAAGTCCAATCTCGGGTTAGCGAAAATGCACCAAAATTTGCAGATAAGTCCTATAATTCATGCTCAAAATTTCAGAACCTTCGGAATAATTTTTCGACCTTGAAAACTAATAATGAACCCTTTAGTTGTCACAATTTGCTGAAATAGTGTCAAAGCATCCAAGAAGCTTAAAAGCTCACCCAAAACTCATTTGGCACTTCCCGAACACAAACCAAATATGCTACTAGCTTGAAAATGACATTTCGGACTGAATGAAATCTTCGGAATTTGAATTCGAGGTCTCCTTGACCCGGTATCCGATAAGGCGTCAAGAAACTAACTTTAGGCTCAAAAACTCGAAACGCACTCGGGGCCTCTAAAAATTCAACCAAGACTCATTCTAGACTTAGAATCACCCCCTGAATCCAACGGTGCCCTCGGAATTCCATTTCGAGCACCGGAACCTCGTTTGTTGACCAAAGTCAACTCTTGATCAAAATTTCACAATTTTAGCAACTTAGGACCTCAAATCTTCGTTTTAACTCCAAATTCGACTCCATAAATTCTCATAGACCCATTTCGACATTCTAAAACTGCTGGAATCAACGGAAATTCGATTCGAGTCTCGAAACTCCAAATGACTCGAAGTAGCACTTTTAACCAAACTTTAACTCTTAAAAACTCAACTTTCCAAAAACTCAACTTTTCATCAATTTTCCTTCAAACCAACTTCGAAAATACAACAATTAGGACTCAAGGCAATTATCGGGAGGGGTAAAACGGTCATTTTATGAAAATTTCCAAAAATGACCTTTAGGGTCATTACAAGAGCAAAGTTTGTTTGACATGTTGTTCATCATTCATTTTTCAGCAAAAAAATCGTTTCTTTCTTTGGATTCATCGCCAGCAAAATTTGAACTCTATGTTGTAAGAATACTGATAAGTTTCAAGAGATCTTGATATAGTTCAGTTATAACCAATTGTGTACCTATGTTAAGGTAAGCATTGATAGACTAAAAGGACTCTATAACTTTCTTTTAGTATGTTTTCATTTTTAGTTCATAGCGCAATGAAAGTCATATAATAAATTATATCAAATTTATCATGTACAATATGTTAGATTAAGTTTTTGAGATAAACGTGCGAAGTACGTCCCCAAAACTAGTTTTTGATGATTGAACAAACTTTGAACCTGGTCCCAGTAAAACTGAGAGTTTCGTACAGTAAAAACTACAACTATCCAAAAGCCTGCATCTGCAGGACCTGTTGTGGCTAGTGCGCGTCTCCCATAGCACAACAGGCTCTTAGCCAATGAAATTGCTTTGTGTGTTTGTGCCTATCCTATAACATGCCTATTCTCCATTGACACAAAGCAAGTTTTTGCATTGAAAAAGTTTATTAAAAAAGCAAAACCCTCTCAGCCGCGGAATATTGCTCAAGAACAGCCGAAGGACAAGATGGGAGTTATCGTCGTTCTTAGTTGTTGCTAGGGTGTATATTTCAGTGGTCAATCGTGTAAGATCTATTCCTAAGTTATAAAGGAATTATACCGTTTGAAGTTCTTGTTGAGCTTTCCAATTCTTAGCTAGAGTTAGCTATGTTGGGTTGTTGAAGTCTAGATCGACTAGAGTTAGTAGGTTTAGTGGACAATAGAGTTATTGCTTAGTTTTTCCTTGTAACAGAGTTGTTATAGTGAGGGGGAAGGGATTAAGATTTTAATTCCTAGGTTAAAAGAGTTTGTAATCTGAATGTTGCTCCGTTTTTAGTGGAATGGAGTTTGTGGTGAAATCCTGTGAGACAGGTAGTAGTTTTCTCCTCCCTTGAACAAGGAGGTTTCCACGTAAAATTCTTGTGTCTGATTTACTTTGAGTTATTTTTTTCGCATTGTTATTTTGTCAGGGGACCTGGTCCATTGATTGTTAGTGGATGCATACATTTATATCAAAGACATTTTTTCCCCTCCAAATTTACCACTAAACGGAGTGTCTAGCGGTCTTTTATTAAAAATAAAAAGATATCAATAAGGATAAATACAAGCAAGGGGGGCTAGGCATTACCATACAATTCCTAATGAAGTACCTTACCTTACAATTCTTTGAAAGACATTAGCACATAACATTGATATATTTTTATCTTACTCATACAATGTTGAATTGGACAATCTTGGAGTAGGTATAGCCACCAGAGGCATTTTCTTTTTCAAAGTAATACCAAACTTCTCTGTAAGGTCTAATGTCTCTCCTTCGGGCAATATCCAATCAAAAGAATGAATGAGTGAAGCCAGTGAATACATGAACATCCTCTCTGCCATGGCTATCCCCGCACAGATTCTTCTGCCAGAACCAAATGGGAAATAGTTGAGATCATTTCCACCATAATCCCAGTTTTTTTGCAAAAATCTCTCTGGAAGGAACTCTGTTGGATTTTTCCAGGTAGAAGCATCTCTATGTATGGCCCATACATTTATGAAAACACAAGATCCTTTAGGAACAATGTATCCTCCCACAGTGCATATTTCACTAGGACAATGTGGCACCAGTAGTGGAGCAGCTGGATGTATGCGCAAGACTTCTTTCATCACTGCATAGAGATATGGTAATTCCTGAATATGAGACTCTTCCACAATATTATCTTTTCCCACAACGGTATCTAGTTCTTGTTGTAATTTCCTCAGGATATCGGGGTTGTGCAATAATTCAGCAATGGCAAACTCAATTGTGTTGGCGGTTGAGCCAGTTCCACCGACGACCATATCCTGTCCATAGTATTTGTGAAGTTATTATCATGTATAACAATTTTTTAATTGTAGAACCTTATATTGGAGTTCAGTTCAAGGTTCACAGTTAAGTTACATATTATTTGATGCTAAATTTGCCGACTCTTTCCTTAAGTCAGTCCAATAACACGGTCGCAATTAACAGTTCAGAACATTTATGATCCTAATTTTAACTTTTATTAGCGTTTGATCCTCTTATTATGACTAATATTACTATAAACCAATTTTTTATCCGTTAACTGCCTAACAGGTAAGGAGATGGACTATTTAAAATAAAATGCAAACATTGTAACCAGTACCGCATGTAATGAAAGTGAATTTTCCTACCAGAAGAACGCAACCAACAGCTCAGGACATGAATTTACGAAGCTGATTCTTCTGAAATTTATTTCCCATATGCCACAATGATTTTTTGATCCTTTTAATATAAAAAAAAATAAATCTGCCATCATGGTCATTGTTAGCTAATAATTGATCCAAAAAAATTAAGGTATGAATGGTTGATGACAAATGCAATCTTGGCTACTCAATAATAATGCAGTGATAACTGGGGAGAGGATGATTTCTTTTTGGAAAAAGCAAATTTAGTAGAATGCACAACTGATAAACATACCATAAGTAAGGCTTTGATTTCAGTCATGGTTAGAGGTATTTTGGCATCTGCTTCATCTTTCAATTTCAGCAAAACTTGCAAAAAATCTTTGTTTTCTTGGCCAACACCATTTCTGTCCAATTTTTGTTTTTGATCAATTATGCTCTCAAATATCTCATCAAATCTCTTTGCCAACACCTTCATCTTCTTTGTAACACCCTGGAAATCAAACCAGGCCAAGCCCGGGTAAAAATCGGAAAGATTGGGAATACTGCACAGTGCAGCTATCTCAGTCACAACATGCCTAAATTCAGCTCCAAGGCTAGATCTTTCCTCACCCTTCACTGTGCCACCCCATAACATGCTTGTAATCACATTAAGCACAGTCAAGAACATCTGTTCACCAACATTCACAGGTGATCCTGCCTGGTTATAAAAGTAATTGATCGATTGTCTAAGCTCCCTTCGCCTTAGTGCATAAACAGAATCTAAAGTAGAAGAACTAAGCATCTCGCGAACACAAACCTTCCTCAACATTCGCCATTTCAGTCCATAAGGAGTCCAAAGTATGTCATTGACACCATATGAAAATTCTCTTCCAGCAGCAGTCACATCTCTGTTAGCAAAAATGGTATCTTTATCCTTAAGAACCTCGCGAGCTAAGGCTGGTGAAGTAATAATAATCCCAACTTTTTTACCAAACCAGAGTCTACAAATCGGGCCATAAGTTTGTGAAAGATGCAAAATAGGTATGAAGTTCAGGTTCAAGAGAATGGAGATTACCTATCAAGGGCAAAGGTTTAGGCCCTGGTGGCAATCCCTTGTTTGAGTTACTGATGAAACCCCAAAGTAAGGCTAAAAAAATAAGAAAAAAGGAGAAAAATACAACCTTTTGCTCAACATTGAGTTGTTGAAGGAGCCATGGGGAAGAATCAAAAAGGGGTTTGAAGAATTTGAGAGACATCTGAAGCTTTTGCACAGCTAAAAGTTTTCTTTCTTTTTTTTGCTGAAAGGATCAGATGAATATAAAAAGAGCAGTAGGATGAAAACAAAGCAGAGTCACCCCTGAATTGAAACGGAAAAAGCACTTTGTTGGTATTATAAGAAACGTGGAAAGCAGAGTTTGTTTGGCATTTCGTTTATCATTCAATTTTCAGCAAAAAAAGGCATTCTTTCTTTGGATTCATTGCCTGCAAAATTTGAAGTCTTTGACAATCACGGCCTCAAATATTTAATCAGATACCGTTCATCTTCTTTGCTGAAGAAGAAAGACTCAATATTGAACGTATAATAGGTAAAAAAATATTATCTTTTCTTGATTTGTCAAAAATGGTAAGTAAAAAGAGACAAGTAACAAGTTAAAATTGGAAAAGTAAAAAGGGACAAAGGGAATAACTGTTTAGCAATGAAGAGGCATACACTTAAAGTTGATTAATGTGCAGATAGTTAGGATGCATGTATAAGAATATTGCCAAGAAACTTTCTTTTAACAGTTTTTATAATATAATAAAGGACAAATTACTTAACTACACTTATTTACTTACTTTAATATTTATTTATCCCTACTTATTTCAAAAATTTCAAAAATCCCTTATTTACTATGTATCCCGCATGTATCCTGTGAACAACGCTATGTATCCCGCTATGTGAAATGTATCAAACGGTATGTATCCCGTGCACAACGCTATGTATCCCGCATGTATCCCGGCACAATGCTATGTATCCCGCTATGTGGAATGTATCAAACCTAATGTATCCCGCTATGTGGAATGTATCAAACCTAATGTATCCCATGCACAACGCTATGTATCCCGCAAACATCATTTTTAAGGAATTTTTGGTAAATAGAAAACTAGAAGGGATAGAATGTTATTTAGTACTTATAATATGTGGTTCCTATAATTTATACTATAATAAATGCACCTTTACAGTATTTTGAATTTAAAGGATAAATTTTGAACTAGTTTTTATCTTACAAACAGGAAGCTCATGTCTGATGTGCATTCTGGAATAGACGTACTGAACTTTGTTGGTAATTCAGGCACACTTGAATTGCAGATACAAACTGTATAGAAACCTTTGAATTAATTTCAAATGGATCTCATTTCCATAGTTCATCATACAAAACACGACTCTCATATATATATATATATATACTAGTTTTGGACACGTGCGTCACACGTGTATTCCTATCAGTTAATACATACTTTCAAAACATAAATATTATTAAAACATGTGTATGGGATTCAATATTGAATTAGAAGAGAAAAAAAAATACAAACTGATAATTAATATTTATATATGTTAAAGCGATATTGTAGTTGAACTTGAAATGAATGGGCAAGACAACAATTATAGTTTAAAACTAATTGTTGAAGTTATAATTTGACTTTGTTTCTTTCTGTAAAGTCTGTTTTGTATAACAAGAAGTAAAATTATCAACTAAGGTATAGTAACATTATAATGGATTTTTAATCTCACTTATATTTAGCGTGAATAAAATCATTTGACATAAGCCTCCAAATGGATATATATGTATTGTGAAAGTAAAAGTATTTCTTACTCAATATTTAAAAATGTCGACCATCATATTTGAACTTCAATACTTTATTTGGGGACATAAAGTGTGTATTTTATTTTAAAATTAGAGGAGAGGTAGAATGAAGAATAAGAAATGACAACAAATTTAAAGAAAAAATCAAACTGAAAAACTGGTATTGCTTGAGTGACAAAAGCAAGCCGGGGTTATATTTTTTTGGCTTATCAAACCAACGTATACCTATTCTTTCTTTTATGACTTCCAGAAGAGAAATTATAGTATTGCAATATTTTTTATATTTTTGATTTTGCGATCATTGAAAGCAATCTTCAGTGACACAAAGATCTCCCTACAACAATCTTCATTACGATAGAAACGCGGGACATAAAAAATCAAACAAAAGGCAAAGCCTTATTCCTGTTTACAGAAGAAAGAAAAAGTTGTAATATATTTTATATACATACTATTCTCAAATATATCCAAAATTAACTCAAACAATAAAAAAAAGAAATATATTTACATAAAAGCGAGAAAGAAAACATCATTTGCATCACTAAACACCATCCACTGCCTTCACCGCAAAAGTTAATGTGTGAACTTCAAAAGATTAGAATTTCATACGTTGTTTTTTCTCATAACCTACCTGAATAAACAATTAAATGTATAATTATATGCAATTATAGTGTGTAATACATAAAGTATAATATATACAAATCCTAAATAATATAATTTTATAAAGCAAGAATTTGCACATTACTAAATATGAGATTGTAAAAATGCATCAACAAGTTTCTCAATTTAGTTGACGCAGAAGAGGTAAAATATAATACCAGCACTTCAACACTAAAAAACATATGAGAACTAAAAAAAAAAAAAAAATTATAAAGAAGAATTGTATACCTAATTTGTAGATGTAGAAACTATCCTGTCACTTGAAAAATATAACTTCAATTCATTTAAAAATGAATTGAAGTATCTTGAAGCACTATAACTTTTGTTCCAAAATGATTTGAAAGTCCAAAATATCAATGCTTTACAAAAATGATAGGAGTGATTCTGTTAAGAAATTACCACAGAGAAAACAACAAAATAGGGAAGCTATCATCATATATTATAGCTGCTTGTAATCTTGATGCCACCAAAGCTGAGAAAGAAAAAATGACAAACATAAATACAATTAAATGTGATATACATATAAATCATGAAATCTAAAATTAAAATAATACGAAGAGATCAAATAAAAGTAAGGATTTGGCAATTAGCAATTGTATAACTAACCTTTAATCATACGCTTGTTTGATATTATTCAATATCTGTATTTATAAATTTGAAAAAATCATCTTCATTCAATATAGGCAAATGAAGAGACAAGAGTTCTAAGAAATTAATTTATGGAAACGAGGGTTTTGAAAACTGATACACATCTTTTTCTCTTCCATTTTCTTTAATGTCTTTAATTTCACATTTAATTGGATAATGTATTTAAACATTTTTTTTGGACTTCTTAAAACAACGATTTAGTTTGGAAAGGTCTTAAAACAATGTTAATGGTTGACTATGATAAATAATGTAATGTGACTTTTCATATTTTTTCCAGTTTTTTATGATATTCAGCAAGCTTAGAGGTAATTAAAGTTTAATATCTAATTAATAATTAATGAGATGATGTATATTTTTTTTATTTAGTGTAGGGTATAATGGTAATCAAACTTTACACTTTGGAGCTTCCCACTTATAATAATATAGCGAAAATGCATAAGTACCCCCAACCTATGCCCAAAATCCCTGAGACACACATAACCTTTACTAAGGTCCTATTACCCCCCCCCCCCCCGAACTTATTTTATATATAATTTTCTACCCCTTTTCGGCCTACGTGGCACTATCTTGTGGGCCCAGTGCGTGTTGACAATTTTTTCAAGGATAGTGCCACGTAGACCCAAAAGGGGTAGAAAATTAATTAAAAAATAAGTTCGGGGGTAATAGGACCTTAGTAAAGGTTAGGTGTGTCTCAGGGATTTTGGGCATAGGCTGGGGGGGTTCTTATGCATTTTTCCAATAATATATGATATGATGATATATGATATATATGTGTTGCGGAAGCCGAATATATAGAGAGTGATGAAATCACAACTGCTATATCTAAAGGTAGCTAATAAATAGTAGATGAGACAACAATAAAAAGAACACCAGGAATTAACGAGGTTCGGCAAACTTTTGTTTTCTTTTGCCTACTCCTCGGACACAACCAACCAATATTTATTTCACTCCAAAAGATTACAAGTGAAATACTACAAGAGAGAAAGAAGATCAAATGTCTTTGAAGATGAGAAGGCAAGTGAGAGGTGTGTCACAAATGAATTAGGAACTAACTATTTATAGGAGTGAATTCTTCCTATTGATGTCATCCATGACATCATAATGTGTCAAAATGTCAAGATTTACCTTGTGAAACCATTTTATGGTTCACCTAAATTTCACCTACAAAAGATGTTATCTTGACGTTTGTACCAATGAAAAATTATCTACCTAACTACCAAATCTTCACATTAATTCATCTTTGAATCTTGTCAAATTTAACAATATGTTCTCTTTTCTCATGTTTATCTCCGTTCATTTTCTATATGAGTTTATTATGCTAAATGAAATTATTTGGAACAAATGTGCAAGGCACGTTCCAAGAAAGCTAGTCCGATAATTAAGGACAGGGCCAGTAATACTAATGCAATCTCATCTCCTCAGACCTCAGCAATACTGCAGTAGTGACCAAAGTTGGTTTGAACATTGAACAAGAGAAAGAAGAAAGTGACATTTCTTACATAGTAAAGAAAATGCACAGATACGACATAATACATAATACGACTCTCAACATATATATATATATATATCTTTATCTTACTCATACAGTGTTGGATTGGACAATCTTGGAGTAGGTATAGTCACCAGAGGAATTTTCTTCCTCAAAGTAATATCAAACATCTCTGTAAGGTCTGATGTCTCTCCTTTGGGCAATTTCCAATCGAAAGAATGAATGAGCGAAGCCAGTGAATACATGAACATCCTCTCTGCCATGGCTATCCCCACACAGATTCTTCTGCCAGAACCAAATGGAAAATAGTTCAAATCATTTCCACTAAAATCCCATTTATTGTCCAAAAATCTCTCTGGACGGAACTCTGTTGGATTTTTCCAGATAGAAGCATCTCTGTGTATAGCCCATACATTTATGAAAACACGAGATCCTTTAGGAACAGTGTATCCTCCCACAGTGCATGTTTCACTAGGACAATGTGGCACCAATAGTGGAGTAGCTGGATGCATGCGTAATACTTCTTTCATCACTGCATAGAGATATGGTAATTGCTGAATATGAGACTCTTCTACGATATTATCTTTTCCCACAACTGTATCTACTTCTTGTTGTAATTTCCTCAGGACATCCGGTTTGTGCATAATTTCAGCCATGGCAAACTCAACTGTGTTGGCGGTAGTGGCAGTTCCACCGAGAACCATTTCCTGTCCATAGTACTTGTGAAGTTATTATCATGTACAACAATTTTTTAATTGTAAAACTGTATATTAGAGTTCAGTTCAAGGTTCACCGTCTTAATTCACAGTTAAGTCTTCACATATAATCTGATGCTAAATTTGCCGACTCTTTCTTTAATGCAGTCCAATAACATGGTAGCAACTAACAGTTCAGGACATGAATATATGAATCTAATATTTATTACACATCTTCCACAATAATTCTTCAATACATTTACAATCCTAATTTTAACTTGTATTAGCATTTGATCCTCTTATTATGACTAACATCACTATAAGCCAATTTTTCATCCGTTAACTACCTAACAGGTAAGGAGATGTACTATTTAAAGCAAATTTAGTAGAATACACAACTGATAAACATACCATAAGTAAGGCTTTGATTTCAGTCATGGTCAGAGGCATTTTTAAATCTGCTTCATCTTTCAACTTCAGCAAAACTTGCAAAAAGTCTTTGCTTTCTTGGCCAACACCATCTCCCATCTCAGCATTTCTATGCAATTTTTGTCTTTGATCAATCATGCTCTCAAATATCTTATCAAATCTCTTTGCCAACACCTTCATCTTTTTTGTAACACCTTGTAAATCAAACCAGGCCAAGCCCGGGTAAAAATCGGAATAATTGGGAATACTGACCAGCGCAGCCATCTCAGTGACAATATGCCTAAACTCAGCTCCAAGACTAGCTCTTTCCTCACCCTTCACTGTGCCACCCCATAACATGCTTGTAATCACATTAAGCAGCGTCAAGAACATCTGCTCACCAACATTTACTGGTAAACCCTTCTGACTATAGAAGTAATTGATCGATTGTCTAAGCTCCTTTCGCCTTAGTGCATAAACAGAATCTAAAGTAGAAGAACTAAGCATATCGCGAACACAAACCTTCCTCAACATGCGCCATTTTGGTCCATAAGGAGTCCAAAGTATGTTATTGCCACCATATGATAATTCTCTTGCAGCAGCAGGGACATCTCTGTTAGCAAAAATGGTATCTTTATCCTTAAGAACCTCGCGAGCTAAGGCAGGTGAAGTAATAATAATCCCAACTTTTTTACCAAGCCAGAGTCTACAAATTGGGCCATAAGTTTGGGAAAGAGATGCAAAATAGGTGGGATCAAGAGAATAGAGATTACCTATCAAGGGCAAAGGTTTAGGCCCTGGTGGCAATCCCTTGTTTGAGTTACTGATAAAACACCAAAGAAACCATAGTAAAGCTAAAAAACCAAGAAAACAGGAGAAAAATACAATCTTATTCTCAGCATTGAGTTGTTGAAGGAGCCATGGGAAAGAATCAAAAAGGGATTTGAAGAATTTGAGAGACATCTGAAGCATTTGCACCTCTAAAAGATTTTGATTTTGCTGAAAGAATGAGATGAATATAAAAAGAGCAGTACGATGAAAACGAAGTAGAGTCACTTCCCCTGAATCTCGTGATGTTAATTGAAACGGAGAAAGTACTTTGTTTGGTAGTATAAGAAACGTGAAAAGGAGCAATGTTTGTTTGGCATTTTGTTCATCATTCAATTTTCAGCAAAAAAATGCTTTCTTTCTTTTTTTGGATTCATCGCCAGCAAAATTTGAACTCTTTGCACAATCATGGCCTCAAATATCCAATCAGATACCCTTCATCTTCTTTGCTGACCAAGAAAAACTCAATATTTTTAACATCAAATATATAAATTCAGTAAGAATTAAAGCTTTCAAAAAATTTCTCCTTCTTTCGTTCACTGGAAAGCAAAGCAGTAGGTTATTTTTTCTTTTCTGATGGTAAAGGGAATGAAGCTTTTTTTTTTGGTATTTCAACACGAGTACTGTGAGTAGTAATCTTATCATAATTTTTGTTTTATAACTTTCATGATTTATAAAGTGAATGATTTACCGAAATGTTTTGAACTTGCATAAGGGACAAGTCTTTTACTTGATATGATACCGAAATAATTATTTGAGATGAACTCATTTTTATAAGATATAATTATTGATACTTGAGATATGATTACCGGTATCAAAAGAGTTTAACATTTACTTGAGAAATAGTATTTTGACATATGTTTTGATTAAAGTTTTGTATATTATGATTTGATAAGAACTTGAATGTCTTATACCAGTTTGAAATGTTTCTACTAATTACAAAGAAAAGTATAAATGGGAGTAGACCTTGATGAATCACGTAGCTAACGGCAAGTTTGTTAGACCTGGTGCACCTTGTAGTTATAGATTACCGATAAAGCTCTTGACAGTGGGAAGGTAGAACTAGCATACCGTTACCGATATCCCTCGAGTAGGGATCTACCGATATGAACATTTAACTCCTTTATGAGGAGTTCACCGTTATTGGTTACTTCTTAAAGAGAGACCAAAGTGATTACATGATTCATCCTTGGAAACCTTTCAGCTATAAGATTGATATGAAAGTGTTATTTTGAGTTTATTTCTAAAAGTTCACCTTGATTTTGCTTACATGAGACAAATAAGATTGAAGATTGTTATCGTTTCTGAAAGGGCATTGATTTCATCATGGTTATTGTTTCTTGATTTTATCATGATTATTATACTATCATGTTTTCTGACTTGTCCTTCATTAAAATGGTTGTGGTTAAGTGTTATTTACTCAATGAGCTAGCGTCTCACTCCTTGCTAAATGTTTTTACAGAGAACTCAGGTGACATTGGAGAAGATTCCATTAATTAGAGAGTGTGGATTGATAGCATATGGTGAGTCTCTCATTGCTTCGCGTGGCAAGAGACGTATTGAATTGCTATGATTTATTTTGTTCTTTAAAAATTCTTAGAGTCGCTCCATTTGTCACTCCTTTTATTCGAGTCATGATTATTCCTTCATATTGTAGTCAAGTAACTAGTTTTGAACTTCTTTTTCATATTTGGAGATAAATTGGTATTATTGCGTGACAATTAGATCATTGATGAATATTATGTCTTAATTTATAGTTGTTATTAGTTGTGTTGTAGATTTTTGAGACAGGGAAAATTTAGCATAGGCCCAAAAAAAAGAAAACTCTGCCCGATTTTCTGTAGAATTTTGGTAAGGCTTGCTTTGGAATTCTCCCCCTTAGCACCGGTCATGGTCCTAAATTGGATCGTGACATGTAACCAAGACCAAGAGCCCTAAATGTTTAGGACTTACGGTTGACAAATAGTTAACAAAACCAAAACTTTCAGTTTTTTTTAAAGAATCACAGGTGAATGACTCTAAGAATTAAAGCACTTGGCTCTGTTCGTCAGATTTGCTGAATGAATGCTTCAAGTGGGGAAAGAATTCTGATTTTTACACCCCTAATTATCTGCTATTCCTAAATGTTATATCTCTGAAAATATGCTACATTAATTCCTCATATCTCCTACCTATGGAAAGAAATTAAACTATCATTACACAAATATTTAGAGTTATTACATTATAACAGATTTTGGTACCAAAACACTTAAAAGAGTTGTTCATCAACTATCCTTTTGAAGCAAATATTGTCAAGACATGGCTAATTTTACCTATTATATGACCACTTAAAAGAGTTTTTTTTATTTTGCTGAAAGAATGAGATATTTTAGATGAAGACAAAAAAAAAGAAGAGACCAGTACGATAAAAATGACGCATAGTTACCTCCCCAGTCCACTCATGATATGTATTGTATTAGAGAACTTAATACATGTATTTTTCCTCAGATTGAATCTCGTAGTGTTAATATAAAGATATGGTAAATATATCAAAATGCCTTGTAATTTTGTGATTGGAATTAAAGAGTTGCTTAAAAAATATGTTTTTATAACGAACAGGAAAGGAGGGTAGGATAAATTGAAACGGAGGGAGCACTTTGTTTGGAAGGATTTTCATTTTGTGTACCCTGTTTAGTACTATATATAGCTAGTCAATGATCCTAAAGAGTCATGGACTTGGTTGAAGCACATGTTGACCGAATCACGTTAAATATTTATGTCTCTTTTGACATATTTCTTATTTATCTTCTTACTCATGGTCTTCCGAGTTTGCTTTGCTAGCTTCCACATGATACTTGATTATTTCGGTCATAATTAGAAGAAAACATCACTCATTATCTATGAATAGTAAATTTGGGAGAATTATTCAATGCTCATTAATATTTGTCTTTGAAAGACATTAGCACATAACAGTGATACATTTTTATCTTACTCATACAGTGTTGGATTGGACAATCTTGGAGTAGGTATAGCCACCAGAGGAATTTTCTTCTTCAAAGCAATACAAAACTTCTCCTTAAGGTCTAACGTCTCTCCTTCAGGCAATTTCCAATCGAAAGAATGAATGAGCGAAGCCAGTGAATACATGAACATCCTCTCTGCCATGGCTATCCCCGCACACATTCTTCTGCCTGAACCAAATGGAAAATAGTTGAAATCATTTCCACTATAGTTCCATTTATTGTCCAAAAATCTCTCTGGACGGAACTCTGTTGGATTGTTCCAGATAGAAGGATCTCTGTGTATTGCCCATACATTTACGAAAACACGAGACCCTTTAGGAACAGTGTATCCTCCAATAGTGATTGTCTCACTAGGACAATGAGGAGCCAAGAGTGGGAGGGCTGGATGTATGCGCATAGCTTCTTTCATCACTGCATAGAGATATGGTAACTGTTGAATATGAGACTCTTCCACTATGTTATCTTTACCCACAACTGTATCTAGTTCTTGTTGTAATTTCCTCAGGACGTCTGGTTTGTTCATAATTTCAGCCATGGCAAACTCAACCGCGTTGGAGGTTGTGTCAGTTCCACCGACAACCAAATCCTGTCCATAGTATTTGTGAATTTATTATCATGTACAACAAGTTTTTATTTGTAGAACTGTATATTGGAGTTCAGTTCAAGCTTCACAGTTAAGTCTTCACATATAATCTGATGCTAAATTTGCTGACTCTTTCCTTAAGTCAGTCCAATAACATGGTAGCAACTAACAGTTCAGAACATGAATATATGAATCTAATAATTATTCAATACATTTATGATCCTAATTTTAACTTTTATTAGCATTTGATCCTCTTATTTTGACTGATATCACTATAACCCAATTTTTCATCCGTTAACTGCCTAACAAGTAAGAAGATGAACTATTTAAAGCAAATTTAGTAGAATGCACAACTGATAAACATACCATAAGTAAGGCTTTGATTTCAGTCATGGTCAGAGGCATTTTGGGATCTGCTTCATCTTTCAACTTCAGCAAAACTTGCAGAAAGTCTTTGCTTTCTTGGCCAACACCATTTCTGTCTAATTTTTGTCTTTGATCAATCATGCTTTCAAATAACTTATCAAATCTCTTTAGCAACACCTTCATCTTCTTTATAACACCCTGGAAATCAAACCAGGCCAAGCCCGGGTAAAAATCAGAAAGATTGGGAATACTGATCAACTCAGCTATCTCAGTCACAACATGCCTAAACTCAGCTCCAAGACTAGCTCTTTCCTCACCCTTCAATGTGCCACCCCATAACATGCTTGTCATCACATTAAGCACAGTCAAGAACATCTGTTCACCAACATTCACTGGTAAACCCTTCTGACTATACAAGTAATTGATCGATTGTCTAAGCTCCCTTCTCCTTAGTGCATAAACAGAATCTATATTAGAACAGCTAAGCATATCGCGAACACAAACCTTCCTCAACATTCGCCATTTTGGACCATAAGGACTCCAAATTAAGTCATTGACACCATATGAAAATTCTCTTCCAGCAGCAGACACATCTCTATTTGCAAAAATGGTATCTTTATCCTTAAGAACCTCACGAGCTAAAGCAGAGGAAGTAATAATAATCCCAACTTTTAGACCAAGCCAGAGTCTACAAATGGGTCCATAAGTTTGGGAAAGAGATGCAAAATAGATGTGAGTTTCTGAAGAAACATCAAGAGAATGGAGATTACCTATCAAGGGCAAAGCTTTAGGCCCTGGTGGCAATCCCTTGTATGAGTTTCTGATGAAACACCAAAGTAAAGCTAAAAAACCAAGAAAACAGGAGAAAAACACACCCTTTTGCTCAACATTGAGTTGTGGAAGGAGCCATGGGAAAGAATCAAAAAGGGGTTTGAAGCATTCGAGAGACATCTGAAGCTTTTGCACCCCTAAATTTTATTTTATTTTTTATTTTTGACTTTGCTAAAAGAATGAGATGAATATAAATAGACCTTTTTTTCATTTAATGAATTTTGACTGTTCGTTAATTAATACTACTATTTCCAGCTAGACTTACAATGCAACAACACTCATTATTAAATGGTAAGTTATTATTAGCAAGTAAAAACTAACAATCTTTACATCTTTCATGTACTAAGTCAACAGTTGAATTACGACAATACTGTTTAACTATTAATTTACTTTTTCTTGAAATTATTTAAAATATTATTTTTTTCATTTAATATTTATTTTGGAATTCAATGAATTTTGACTGTTCGTATTATAGTAATTAATACTCCTATTTTCAGCTAGACTTACAATTCAATACTCATTATTAAATTGTAAACTATTATTAGCAAGAAAAAACAAACAATCTTTACATCTTCCACGCAGTAATAATGATGATTTTTCATAATAATAGTTACTGTGAATTTTTTAAGGATAAGGGTCTGAAAAATACCTCAACTTTGGTCGAATTTGCTGTTGCGATACTAAACTTTCATGAGAACCTATTACCTCCTAGACTATTTAATACCGTATTTTAAACATATATATTTGTCCACATGGACATAAAAAATAATGCAAAATTATAAATAGTAATGTGGACACGTGGGCACACACATACCTTTAAAATACACTATTAAATAGTTCAAGGGGTAAAAAATACAGTATTAAATAGTCTAGGGAGGTAATAGGTCCTCGTGAAAGTTTAGTATCGCAACAGCAAATCCGACCAAAGTTGGGGTATTTTTCAGACGCTTATCCCTTTAAATAACTAGTCATAATGATTTTCCATTACACATTTAATATATTTGAATTCTTTTACATATTTTATCCGTAGATTACAATTTTACTTCTACATTACATTTAAATGTTATAAATTGTTTAAGAAATTAAATAGTAAAAAGTAAATCACCATATTAGTATAAATAAATTTTATTACCACTAACTCTTCATTATGTAAATATATGTATCTCCCAGTAATTATATTTATTATGATTTTTACTCTCATCTCTCATCCATAATCTCAAATGGATTAATATCATATTCATTGACAACTCTTTGTGTTCCTCAATGCTATCCTATAAATAGTAACATTTGACACAATAATGTACACTTAAACCAATTGAAAAAAAAGAACTTGAGAAAATCTATATGCTCGATCTCTTCTCTTGTCTTTTTTATTTGTGTAGTTTAATATTTATGTTTCTTGTTTGTTGTTGTCACACTCCGAACCTACACCCTGGACGTGGCCGACACTCGAAGACCATTGTTGGCCCCAAAGCGAACCCTTGGCCTGGCTTTCTTAAATCAGTGGAAACTTAACTCGATAGCATAACTCAATGCAATGCAAGGTTATAAAACAACCTAACTAATAAAATCTGGCCAAAAAGGCAACTCGAGTCCCAAAATAGAATATTTACATAGATGAGAGACTCAAAACCAACTAACTGACTGTCTATGAAGCCTCTATATAACTGAGATGGATGTTGGAACAGACCCCGCAACATCCTAATAAAACAAAACTAAGAGAACAACATAATCGAGTCCTCCGGAACACAAAGAGGCTCACCACTGACTCTGGAGCACTCAGCTGGATCAATGGCGTGCTGAATGCTGACCCTAGGTACCTGTGTCTGCATCTTCATAAGATGCAGGCCAACTGGCATTAGTACATTGAATGTACAAGTATGCGAGCTGGAAAGTTAAACCATAACTTAAGCTTGGAAGGAGTACAAAGGAACTCTTACCTTGGCTCTGTTCAACTCACGAATAACTGAACTCAATATATAAAGCAATAAGACACATGCAATATATAAAGCTTGTTAAAAATAGTGTAAACAACTTAGTTCGTTAAGGATAAAACGATAACAAACTCAACTTTACTTATATAAAAGTAATATAACTTTAGTGGGAGATTCTTTAACCGACAATCACCACTATGAGCCCTAGTGGTGATACAACGTTTTACCTCACGTTGCCCAAGGACCATCCTATACCTTTCCGTGATATAGTAAGCTAACTTTACTAAGTGGATCCACTAGCTTAATCTTACGGATTCATCTAAAAAGTATGACCCGTTAACTCCTATGTTGGCGCATGGTTCTTATGGAGAGTTGAGTTAATATGAACTCGTGTCCCCAATTCGGTGCTCAAGACTACTCCCAAAAATACTTAGCTCATAAGTGTTTTAAACACATCTTTCTTTATTTGAGATAATTACTCAAAACTTTGCCCGAAAGCTCACTTGGAATCGATGTTCCTTTTTCTTGAAAACTAGCCCAAAGGCTCTTTTGGAATCATAGTTCCTTTCTTACTCAAATGTAAAAACATGTAGAAACTTCTTTGGGAATACATAGTTCCCTAATAACTTTTGAGAAATGAACTCAACTTTAAACTCTTTACTCAACTTGCAACTCTTGACTCTTACTCTTTACTTGACTTGAAACTCTTGACTCTTACTCTTTACTTGACTTGAAACTTGAGCCTTAAAATGAAGTTAAAACATTCAACAAAGACTCTTGAACAACTTTAAAGACTTACCTTGACTCACTTCTTTAACTTCTAAACCCAACTCTTAACTTCACTTGACTTGGAAACTAACTCTCCTTGAATTGGAATCATGAATTCAGGGTGTTTGATCACGTGTTATGGACGAGTTCTTGACGTTTAAACGTACATTGGGGTGTTGTAAACAACTAGGGAACATAGGTACAATACCTAGGAACATGCATGAGAAAGTGGGGAAGGAATGGGAAGACTTGGCGCTCTGAGAGGCGCGGAGCGCCAGACCAAAAACTTCAGAGGGGTCTGGTTGGGGCTCTGGTAGGGGCGGCGCCCCAAGGGCTGGACCTCAGAGTCCCTTTTGGGGCGCGTCGCCCCAGCCCTTTTTCCCGAAAACTCAACTTTTCTCCTCCTTTTCTCCAACTCTAAACTTTCTAAACTTCAAAGCTTTATCCCCCAAACACTTAGAATCATCAAAACCCTTAACATACACTAGATTCAACTCAAAAACACCCTCGGAAACATACACCAAACCAACAAGAACTACAACACAACACAACTACAACTTCAACAATTCCAACCAACAACTTCAATCAAACATAATCAATCTTTTCTCGAAATTAAACGAGGTTGGCGTGTGGGGGAAAGAACCAACCCAACACTATGAACTCACATACCTTAATAGGGATCACCCCCGAAGAAAACCATGACGATCTTTACGAAGTTTGCTTCTTCTTCTCCTTTCTCTCCTTTTCTCTCAAGAACCCTAACTCTTACTCTTTTTAAAAAGGGAAAAACTGATCAAAAATCAGTCTTACACCTTAATATATATCCAAAGACAAGGCTAGGGAAAAGACCAAAATACCCTTACAATTTCCGGACGGATTCCCTGCCAACTGCCCAACTTTCAAAGGGCATAACTCGCTCATACGAACTCAAAAACGAGCAAACTCGATGGCGTTGGAAGGACCAATCCACGAACTTTGCAAACATAACTGGAACTACACCTAGATCATCCCGAGCTAGGATTTATAACTGTACAAAGTTGGCCAAAAATTCATTATTTTCCATACTTAACAAATTTTCCAGATTTTTAATTCTTTCCAAAAAGACTATTTCCAAGTTTTAAGCTTCTTCCTAGTCCCCAACTTGCAAGATGTCACAGTTGTTGTACAACTTTTTATTGTTGTGTTATTATTATTATTGAGAATTTACCATGATTTGTTGCTTTCTATACGTTAGCCTAGCATGTGGTATTTTAGTATCCTCATTTGAATGTTGAATTTGTGCAATAGTTAGTTATTTTCACTTTTAGTCAATTTTATAGTTAAAAGTATATTCTTTTTATTAGGAAGATATATGTAGCTCCTTTTTTTAATGAATAAGATCCGAGGGTCATTTTATAATTAAGAATCAAAAGAGTACTTAATTAAATCTACACAAGACAAAAAGGAAAGAATAAAGGGAAAACTAAGCAAATACCCCATAAAAGCAAAATAATTATAAACATATACCCCTTTCAGTGTAAGAGTATATATATACAAATGGTGTAAACTAAGCATATCGCGAACACAAACCTTCCTCATCATGCGCTATTTCGGTCCATAAGGAGTCCAAAGTATGTTATTGCCACCTTATGAAAATTCTCTTCCAGCAGCAGGGACATCTCTATTAGCAAAAATGGTATCTTTATCCTTCAGAACTTCACGAGCTAAAGCAGGGGACGTAATAATAATACCAAGTTTTTTACCATGCCAGAGTCTACAAATGGGGCCATAAGTTTGGGAAAGAGATGCAAAATAGGTGTGAAGTTCAGGGTCAAGAGAATGGAGATTACCTATCAAGGGCAAAGCTTTAGGCCCTGGTGGCAATCCCTTGTTTGAGTTACTGATGAAACACCAAAGAAACCATAGTACAGCTAAAAAAACAAGAAAACAAGAGGAAAACACACCCTTTAAACATTGAGTTGTTGAAGGAGTTTGAGAATAAAATTCCAAATTTAGAAGAAGATTCATCATGAACCTCTCGATTTTTCAGAGACATTTTGGAGTTGAATGTCTAAAAGTTACGAACGATACATAAGCAATGAAATCATTGTTGGAGACAATACTTCTTTTATGAATATGAAATCAGTAATTGCAGCTGAATTATAAATTGATGAATTGGAAAAAAATAGATATCAGGTAGATACATCATAGAACTGTCTCCAAATACATTAAAACTTAAAAGAATTTAGATACACAACAAAATAACTAGAATCACAATGAAAGTTGGTAGCTTTTTTTTTTGGGAAAATGCATAAGTACCCCTCCAGCCTAAGCCCGAAATCCCAGAGACACACCTAACCTTTACTAAGGTCCTATTACCCCCCGAACTTATTTTATATGTAATATTCTACCCCTTTTTGGCCTACGTGGCACTATCTTGTGGGCCCAGCGCATGTTGACAATTTTTTCAAGGATAGTGCCACGTAAGCCGAAAAGGGGTAGAATATTATAGATAAATTAAGTTCAGGGGGGTAATAGGATCTTAGTAAAAGTTAGGTGTGTCTCTGAGATTTCGGGCATAGGCTGGGGGGTACTTATGCATTTTCCCTTTTTTTTTAGATAAATAACAATAGGTGTATGTATCAGGTACTAAATATAATGAAGGTTCTCATAGCTATGTATCAAATACTAACTATAAACATGATTTATATTGATTTAGGTTTGAAATAATTGAGGTTATGTATCAACAATAACATTTAAACATATATATTTAACACAAACAAAGTTGCAATGTATCTGATAGTTGAAACATAAACATGATACCTAAGTAAACACACAATATCAACCAGATACATTAGAAATTTGAACCTTGGTAGAGAAAGCCAAGTGGTAACACCATCGACTTCCCCCTTTTTATTTTGAAGCTTTTATAGCTAGTGATTTCACACTTGAACTAACATCCTTCCGTAATTTTTGTTCCACAATTTCTTCATCATTAAAGGATCGTTGCGGTGTTTGAATCTATTTTCAGCAAAATCATCAGTATTCGAATCAAACTCATGAGGAACAAAATCTTTCGTTTGAGGAACTAATTGAGTAAGACCAATACTAAACGATGGTAGTGAGTCCACATGTATCGTCAAATTGAGTTGAAGAACAATAAATTGAAACTATTTTGATTCAAAATTCTGATATATTAAAAGCAAAAAAGATTATGAAGAAATTCTTCTACCTAGAACTTGAAATTGATGATAAGTTCAAGAATAACACGGTTGTAATTCAAAATGCTGACTTGGAAGAAATTGTTGTAATTAATTTAAATAGAAGGGAATTTAATAGATTATGTTATCCTCAGGAATTTCATCTCTGATGGGCACAAACTGTATAGAAACCTTTGAATCAATTTAAAATGGATCCCATTTTCATAATTCATCATACAAAAGACATAATCACCATACAGAATGCGACTCTCTACAGACACATTTTTATCTTACCCATAGAGTGCTGGATTGGACAATCTTGGAGTCGGTATAGCCACCAGAGGCATTTTCTTCTTCAAAATAATACCGAACTTCTCTGTAACTTCTAATGTCTCTCCTTCAGGCAATTTCCAGTCGAAAGAATGAACCAGTGAAGCAAGTGAATACATGAACATCCTCTCTGCCATGTCTATCCCCACACAGATTCTTCTGCCAGAACCAAATGGGAAATAGTTGAAATCATTTCCACTATAATCCCATTTATTGTCCAAAAATCTCTCTGGACAGAACTCAGTTGGATTTTTCCAGATAGAAGGATCTCTGTGTATAGCCCATACATTTATGAAAACACAAGATCCTTTAGGAACAGTGTATCCTCCCACAGTGCATGTTTCACTTGGACAATGTGGCACCAATAATGGAGCAGTTGGATGTATGCGCAAGACTTCTTTCATAACTGCATAAAGATATGGTAATTCCTTAATATGAGACTCTTCCACAATATTATCTTTTCCCACAACTGTCTCTAGTTCTTGTTGTAATTTCCTCAGGATGTCTGGTTTGTTCATAATTTCAGCCATGGCAAACTCAATCGCATTGGACATTGAGCTAGCTCCACCAGTAACCATATCCTGTCCATAGTATTTGTGAAGTTATTATCATGTACAGCAGTTTTTTAGCTGTATAACTGTATATTGAAGTTCAGTTCAAGGTTGACAGTTTTAATTCACAGTTATGTCTTCACATATTATCTGATGCTAAAATTGCGGACTCTTTCCTTAAGGCAGTCCAATAACATGGTAGCAACTAACAGTTCAGAACATGAATATATGAATCTAATATCTATTACACAACTGCCACGGTAATTCTTCGATACATTTACAATCCTAATTTTAACTTGTATTAGCATTTGATCCTCTTATTATGACTAACATCACTATAAGCCAATTTTTCATCCGTTAACTGCCTAACATGTAAGGAGATGGACTATTTAAAGTAAAATGCAAACTTTTGTAGCCAGTACCACATGTAATGAAAATGAAGAATTTTTCTAGCCGAAGAACGCAACCAACAACTCAGGACATGAATTAATGAATCTGATTCTTCTGAAATTTATTTCCCATATTGACACAATGATTTTGATCCTTATAATATAAAAAAGAAAAGATCTGCCATCATGATCAGTATAACTGTGTAAGCTTATAATTAATCCATATAGGTAAGGTATGAATGGTTGATGACAAATGCAATCTTTGCTACTCAATAATAATGCAATGATAACTAGGGAGAGGTAGAATTATTTTTGGTTCATTTAGGAAAAACGAATTTCGCAGATTGCACAACTGATAAACATACCATAAGTAAGGCTTTGATTTCAGTCATGGTCAGAGGCATTTTGGGATCTGCTTCATCTTTCAACTTCAGCAAAACTTGCAGAAAGTCTTTGCTTTCTTGGCCAACACCATTTCTGTCCAATTTTTGTCTTTGATCAATCATGGTTTCAAATATCTTATCAAATCTCTTTAGAACCACCTTCATCTTCTTTACAACACCCTGGAAATCAAACCAAGCCATGCCTGGGTAAAAATCAGAAAGATTGGGAATACTGATCAACTCAGCTATCTCAGTCACAACATGCCTAAACTCAGCTCCAACACTAGCTCTTTCCTCACCCTTCATTGTGCCACCCCATAACATGCTTGTAATCACATTAAGCACAGTCAAGAACATCTGTTCACCAACATTCACCGGTAAACCCTTCCGACTATACAAGTATTTGATCGATTGTCTAAGCTCCCTTTTCCTTAGTGCATAAACTGAGTCTAATGTAGAACAACTAAGCATATCACGAACACAAACCTTCCTCAACATTCGCCATTTCGGTCCATAAGGAGTCCAAAGTAAGTCATTGACACCGTATGAAAATTCTCTTCCAGCAGCAGGGACATCTCTGTTAGCAAAAATGGTATCTTTATCCTTAAGAACCTCGCGAGCTAAGGCTGGTGAAGTAATAATAATCCCAACTTTTTTACCAAGCCAAAGTCTACAAATCGGGCCATAAGTTTGGGACAGAGATGCAAAATAGGTGTGAAGTTGAGGATCAAGAGAATGGAGATTACCTACCAAGGGCAAAGGTTTAGGCCCTGGTGGCAGTCCCTTGTTTGAGTTACTGATGAAAAACCAAAGTAAAGCTAAAAAACCAAGAAAACAGGAGAAAATCACAGCCTTTTGCTCAACATTGAGTTGTTGAAGGAGCCATGGGAAAGAATCAAAAAGAGGTTTGAAGAATTTGAGAGACATCTGAAGCTTTTGCACAGCTAAAAGATTTTTTTTTATTTTGCTGAAAGAATGAGATGAATATATATAAGACCAAAACGAAGCAGAGTCACCTCCTGAATCTCGTGATGTTAATTGAAACGGAAAAAGTACTTTTTTTGTATTGTATGAAACGTGGAAAGCAAAATTTGTTTGGCATTTTGTTCATCATTCAATTTTCAGCCAAAAAAACGTTTCTTTCTTTGGATTTATCGCCAGCAAAATTTGAAGTCTTTGACAATCATGGCATCAAATATCCAATCAGATACCGTTCATCTTCTTTGCTGAAGAAGAAAAACTCAATATTTTACACCATATATATAAAACATAATTTTTCCTTATTTGTATAGTACAATATTGATAAGAATCGGGTTTCTTAAAATAAGAACAAGATGTAGAGGTGAAATTATAAAGATTAAAGATAGAAATTGAAAGATATGAGTAATTTTAGAATAAAATTCCAATAAGAACTCTAATTGATCTTAATATTCAAAATTAACGAATTAAAACTAATTATTATCCTAATAGAGTCAATTCAAGAACTTAGATCCCTCATAACGCGTAACATATTCAAAATTCAAACTAATTCAAGCAAATCGTCCAAAATCTTTTTAACTCTGCTTCAAAAATTGGTAATTTGGAAGAAGATACATCATGAACATTCAGACATTTTGGAGTGTGGTGTTTGAAGTGAATTACGAACAATACAAAAGCGATGAAATCATTGTTGGAAACAATATTTCTTTTATGATCTGAAATCAACAATTGCAGCTGAATTATAAATTGATGAGTTGGAAAAAAATAGACATTATATAGATACATCGTAGAATTGTCTCCAGATACATTAAAACGTAAAGAATTCAGATACATAACAAAATAACTAGAATCACAATGAAAGTTGGTAGCCTTTTTCAGATAAATAGCAATACGTGTATGAACCGGGTATTAAAATATAATGAAGGTTGTAATAGTTATGTACCAGATACATGACCATAAACATGATTTATACAGAATTAGGTTTAAAATAATTTGAATTATATATCAACAATATCATTTGTACTATATACATTGTACATAAACAAAGTTTTAATGTATCTGATATAGGGGTATGCATCGGTTGGTTCAGTTTGATTTTATGTATTATCGGTTCGGTTTATCGATTTTTTATTTTTAAATATGTTTTTTTTTTTGTTTTCCACCCGGTGTCCAGAGCCCACATTGGAGCTCCGACTAAATCCAGATCGCACACTGCTGGGCCCATTCGGGAGTGACGCTCCCAATAGGATTTTCTCCATACCCAGGGCTCGAACCCGAGACTTCTGGTTAAGGGTGAAGCATTCCCACCAGTGCACCACAACCCATGTTGGTGATTTTTAAATATGTTAAACCAATAACAAATCAATAATATATTCTTTAACAGTTTTTGGTCATTAACGGTTCGGTTTTCAATTTACCTAATAAGAAAATGCTCATAAAATAAATATATGATTTCTCACTTCTCTAACAATTTGGCACGATACAGTCTAAGACAAGCAAATCAGATGTAAATGCTTTGATATAGTGAAACAAGAAATATAATGAAAAATTGCATCAATAAGAGTAGATACAGTACAAAGACTACAATTACATGCTACAACCAAAACATAATATGAAATTTCTTATGTGAAGTAGAAGTATTGTGATGTGTGAAGTGTGTAGACCGTAGTGTAGAATACTGATATAGTGTCTAGTTATGTTAAGTTATTAATATTTGATATTTATAAAGGGTGTAGTAATAAATTACTATCGTCTTAATGGGTTTACGGTTTATCCAATACTAAAAATCGATACCAAACGGATGACTCAATAATTTTTTTTTAAAAAACCATTAAAACCATGTTAACCTAATAACCCAATAACATTTTTTGGGTTCAATTTATTGGTCGATTCGGTTTTTGCACATCCCTAATCTGATAGTTGAAATATAAACATGATACATAGGTAAATACACAATATCGACCAGATACATTAGAAACTTGAACCTTGGGTAGAGAAAGCCAAGTAGTAACACCATTGACTCCCCCCCCCCCCCCCTTTATTCTGAAGCTTTCGAACTAATATCCTTCCGAAATTTTTCCTCCTGCAATTTCTTCATCATTAAAGAATCATTGCTGTGTTGGATTTATTTTCAGCAAAATCATCATTATTCGAATCAAATTCATGGTTGTAATTCAAAAATGTTGAGTTGGAAAAAATCAATGATACATTGTTAAGTTATAGGCGTGATTTTGGGGGGATTTAAGCACTGTGTGGGGAGAGTTAGAGATATGTATCCGCAGGTCAATAGAGGGAGACGAAAAAAGGAATTTTTTTAATTAATTTAAATGGTAGGGAATTTAGTAGATTATGTTATCCTCATTTCCCAACAGAAGGGAACAACCAATATCACATCAAAAGTAAGTGACATAACATACCATAAGGGCCATTTTAGCCAAGAAAAACTCAATGCTCGAAAGTCTTCAGAAATGTACTATTTTTGCAGGATCTGACACACACAAAGCGGCATTTCTAAAAAGTCTAGAAGATAAGAACAGGCAATTGCAATCTCCTCTCCTCAGCAATAATGCAGTAGTAACTAAAAAATAGATTTGAACTTCGAACAGGGGAAAGGAAAGGTTATTTACTTACATAGAACATGTTACAAGTTAGAAGGGACCAACCAACATCACATCCAAAGAAAGTGACTTTCACTCCCTCCGTCTCAATTTATGACACACAGTTCAGGAAAAAAGAAAAGACTTCGAAACTTGTGGTATAAAACCAAATTTTAGACATCTGTGTGACTATTAATCATTTCATTTAGCTGGAACAGAGTCAGTAGTAAAAAAAAGTCACATATATGATATACCACAACAAAAGCTAGAAGTTTGGCATATTCTTTATCAATATTCAACTTCAGCAAAACTAGCAAAAATTCCTTTCTTTGTTGGGCAATCATGGTCTAAATCATCTTCTTTGCTGACCAAGAAAATCTCAATGCTTTAACACTATATAAATAAAGTAAAACCTTCTGAAGAAATAAAAGATCTAAGATTAGATAATTGACTCTTGGAAGTCTGCAGAACCACAAGATCAATATGAACATACCTGATTCAACTACAAAGCAGAAAAAGTAAATGAATTGTTCTTTTTCCAATATGGGGACTGTTTCCCTTTGTGTTTTTTTCTTTTATTCGGAGAGACAAAAATTAAAGTATCTCATTGGATATTGAGCTTTTGAGAAGTTCAAATATTTTATTTAGAAAGAAATAATTTCGAGAATTGATGTGTTTAGTTAAGGTTTAAAGAAAGAAAAAAACATGAACCTCATCTCTAGCCATGAGGAAACCTGAATTCTTCCTTGAGAGAACTTTCACCAAGAGAGAAGAGAGAAAATAATGGTTCCTTTTACTGCATAGAAAGTTTAAATTAATTTCCATAATTCATCATACAAAAGACAGAATCATCATACAGAACACAACTCTCAACAGAAACATTTTCATCTTACTCATACAGTGTGGGATTGGACAATCTTGGAGTAGGTATAGCCACCAGAGGAATTTTCTTCCTCAAAGTAATACCAAACATCTCTGTAACGTCTGATGTCACTCCTTCGGGCAATTTCCAATCAAAAGAATGAATGAGTGAAGCCAGTGAATACATGAACATCCTCTCTGCCATGCCTATCCCTGCACAGATTCTTCTGCCAGAACCAAATGGGAAATAGTTCAAATCTTTTCCACTATAATCCCATTTATTGTCCAAAAATCTCTCTGGACGGAACTCTGTTGGATTTTTCCAGATAGAAGCATCTCTCTGTATAGCCCATACATTTATGAAAATACAAGATCCTTTAGGAACAGTGTAACCTCCCACAGTGCATGTTTCACTAGGACAATGTGGTATCAATAGTGGAGCAGCTGGATGTAGGCGCAACACTTCTTTCATCACTGCATAGAGATATGGTAATTGCTGAATATGAGACTCTTCCACAATATTATCTTTTCCCACAGCTGTATCTACTTCTTGTTGTAATTTCCTCAGGACATCGGGTTTGTGCATAATTTCAGCCATGGCAAACTCAATTGTGTTGACGGAAGTGTCAGTTCCACCGAGAACCATTTCCTGTCCATAGTACTTGTGAAGTTATTATCATGTACAACAATTTTTTAATTGTAAAACTGTATATTGGAGTTCAGTTCAAGGTTCACCATCTTAATTCACAGTTAAGTCTTCACATATAATCTGATGCTAAATTTGCTGACTCTTTCTTTAATGCAGTCCAATAACATGGTAGCAACTAACAGTTCAGGACATGAATCTAATATTTATTACTCACCCACCACAAAAATTCATCAATACATTTACAATCCTAATATGAACTTATATAGCATTTGATCCTTTTAATATAAAAAAAAAAAAAAAAAAACATCTGCCATATTGATCAGTGTAAGCCAGTATGAATGGTGGAAGACAAATGCACTATTGGCTACTCAACAATAATGCAGTTATGACTATTTAGTAGAATGCACAATTGATAAACATACCATAAGTAAGGCTTTGATTTCAGTCATGGTCAGAGGCATTTCGGGATCTGCTTCATCTTTCAACTTCAGCAAAACTTGCAAAAAGTCCTTGCTTTCTTGGCCAACACCATTTCTGTCCAATTTTTGTCTTTGATCAATCATGCTCTCAAATATCTTATCAAATCTCTTTGCCAACAACTTCATCTTCTTTATAACACCCTGGAAATCAAACCAAGCCAAGCCCGGGTAAAAATCGGAAAGGTTGGGAATACTGACCAACTGAGCTATCTCAGTCACAACAAGCCTAAACTCAGCTCCAAGACTAGCTCTTTCCTCACCCTTCACTGTGCCACCCCATAACATGCTTGTAATCACATTAAGTATAGTCAAGAACATCTGCTCACCAACATTCACTGGTAAACCTTTCTTACTATAGAAGTAATTAATCGATTGTCTAAGCTCCCTTCTCCTTAGTGCATAAACCGAATCTAAAGTAGAAGAATTAAGCATATCGCGAACACAAACCTTCCTCAACATGCGCCATTTCGGTCCATAAGGAGTCCAAAGTACATTATTGCCACCATATGAAAATTCGCTTCCAGCAGCAGGGACATCTCTGTTAGCAAAAATGGTATCTTTATCCTTAAGAACCTCGCGAGCTAAAGCAGGGGAAGTAATAATAATCCCAAGTTTTTTACCAAGCCAGATTCTACAAATGGGGCCATAAGTTTGGGACAGAGATGCAAAATAGGTGTGAAGTTCAGGATCAAGAGAATGGAGATTACCTATCAAGGGAAAAGCTTTAGGCCCTGGTGGCAATCTCTTGTTTGAGTTACTGATGAAAAACCAAAGTAAAGCTAAAAAAGCTAGAAAACAGGAGAAAAACACACCCTTTTGCTCAACATTGAGTTGTTGAAGGGGCCATGGGAAAGAATCAAAAAGGGGTTTGAAGAATTCGAGAGACATCTGAAGAAGATTTTTTTTTTTTTAATTTTGCTGAAAGAATGAAATGAATATAAATAGACATTCCCAGTATTCTCCTGAATCTCGTGATGTTAATTGAAACGGAGAAAGTACTTTGTTTGGTAGTATAAGAAACGTGAAAAGGAGCAAAGTTTATTTGGCATTTTGTTTATCATTCAATTTTCAGCAAAAAAAAATGTTTTCTTTCTTTGGATTCATCGCTAGCAAAATTGAACTCTTTGACCAAAAGAGTTTGCTTATTTTATATGGTCATTCAACTAATATTTATTTTCATAAAAAGTCATTTAACTTTCTTTTATATCTCAAAGTCACTTAACTATAAATATTTTACCTATAAAGTCACTCAATTATTTAGAAAGTAGCCCAACAAAATTAAATGACTTTTTCATTAAATTATTTTGAAATATTTTTTTGTTTCAAACAAATTTTTAAATAAATAATAAGATACACATTTTAATTATTTTATTAAATTTTATTGAAACATAATTTTTGTTTCAAACTAATTTCTTTTTTTTAAAAAAATAATACTCATTTTAATTAATTGATTAGATTTTGTTTTTAAACTTTTTTTTTCTTTTGGGGGGGGGGGGTGACAATTTACCTATTTGTGAAGTAAACAAGTTGTCAATGAACATTTTGATGGTGGATGGATCATAGAAGAAATGTGACTCTGTGTTTAATCTGACTTCATGAAGGTAAATATTGGACATTTGATATTCACACTGTTAAGTGAAATTTGAGAATTATATCCAACTATAACATGCTTGTAATCACATTAACTACGGTTAAGAACATCTGCTCACCAACATTCATAGGTGATCTTGCCTGGTTATAAAAGTAAATTGATCCATTAAAGTGTTATGTAGCCATTTTTAGAGAATATTTGTAACCCTCTTATTGTTACAGTGGAGCAATTTGAATCATAGCGATCCTATGGTTCTTACCTTCGATTTGAAGGATTTTTCCAACTGTTCTTTATTTTCTCTATTTTCGAGTTCGAGTCTTTCCTCCCTAACAGCACACAGATTTTGGTACCAGAACACTTGAAGAGTTGCTCATCAATCACAAAATATAAGTAAATAACTGACTATGACTTAAACAAAGCTCAGGCCGTTCATAAGGTTTTGAATTTGAAATAAAACTGGAAATATTTTTTATCGTACAAACAGGAAGCTCATCTCTGATGTGCTAATTCAGGTACACTTGAATTATAGGTTTAATATTCTTGATGTGTACTAAACTGTATCGAAACCATTGAATCAATTTCAAATGGATCCCATTTCCATAGTTCACCATACGAAAGAGAGAATCATCATACAGAACACGACTCTCTACAGACACATTTTAATCTTACTCATACAGTTTTGGATTAGACAATCTTGGAGTAGGTATAGCCACCAGAGGTATATTCTTCTTCAGAACAATCCCAAACTTCTCTGTAAGGTCTAATGTCTCTCCTTCGGGCAATTTCCAGTCGAAAGAATGAATGAGTGAAGCCAGTGAATACATGAACATCCTCTCTGCCATGACTATCCCCGCACAGATTCTCCTGCCAGAACCAAATGGGAAATAGTTGAAATCATTTCCACTATAATCCCATTTATTGTCCAAAAATCTCTCTGGATGGAACTCAGTTGGATTTTTCCAGATAGAAGGATCTCTCTGTATAGCCCATACATTTATGAAAACACGAGATCCTTTAGGGACAGTGTATCCTCCAACAGTGCATGTTTCACTAGGACAATGTGGCACCAAGAGTGGAAGAGTTGGATGTATGCGCAAGACTTCTTTCATAACTGCATAAAGATATGGTAATTGCTGAATATGAGACTCTTCCACAATATTATCTTTTCCCACAACTGTCTCTAGCTCTTGTTGTAATTTCCTCAGGACGTATGGTTTGTTCATAATTTCAGCCATGGCAAACTCAACCGCATTGGAGGTTGTGTCAGTTCCACCAACCACCATATCCTGTCCACAGTATTTGTGAAGTTATTATCAAATACTGTATATTGGATTTCAGTTCAAGGTTCACTGCCTTAATTCACAGTTAAGTCTTCCTTAATGCAATCCGATAAAAAGGTAGCAACTAACAGTTCAGAACATGAATTTATATAAACCTGATTCATCTAATAGTTTTTACTCATCTGATGTAATAATTCTTCAGTACATTTACTATCTTATTGTTCACTTTTATTTGCATTGATCCTCTTATTATGAATAACATCACTAAAAACCATTTTTTTTTATCCGTAATAGGTAAGGAATTAGACTATTTGAAGTAAAATGCAAACTTTGAAACCAGCACCATATCAAATGAATGTGAATTTTCATAGAAGAAGAATGTAACAACAGCTCAGCTCACAACAAAACTTGATGAATAAAACATACCATAAGTAAGGCTTTGAGTTCAATCATGGTCAGAGGCATTTTGGCATCTGATTCATCTTTCAACTTTAGCAAAACTTGCAAAAAGTCCTTGCTTTCTTGACCAACACCAGTTCCCATCTCAGCATTTCTATCTATTTTCTGTCTTTGATCAATCATGCTCTCAAATATCTTATCAAATCTCTTTTCCAACACATTCATCTTCTTTGTTACACCCTGCAAATCGAACCTGGCCAAGCCCGGATAAAAATCGGAAATATTTGGAGTACCTAACAGCTCAGTCATATCAGCTACAACATGCCTAAACTCTGCTCCAAGTCTAGATCTTTCCTCACCCTTCACTGTGCCACCCCATAACATGCTTGTAATCACATTAGGCGCAGTCAAGAACATCTGTTCACCAATATTCACAGGCGATCCCGCCTGATTATAAAAGTAATTGATCGATTTTCTAAGCTCCCTTTTCCTTAGTGCATAAACAGAATCTAAAGTTGAACCACTAAGCATTTCGCGAACACAAACTTTCCTCAACATACGCCATTTCGGTCCATAAGGAGTCCAAACTATGTCTTTTCCACCATATGAAGATTCTTTACAAGCAGCAGGCACATCTCTGTTAGCAAAAATGGTATCTTGATTCTTAAGCACCTCGCAAGCTAAGGCAGGTGAAGTAATAATAATCCCAACTTTTTTACCTAGCCAGAGTCTACAAATGGGGCCATAAGTTTGGGAAAGAGATGCAAAATAGGTGTGAAGTTCAGGGTCAAGAGAATGGAGATTACCTAGCGAAGGCAAAGCTTTAGGCCCTGGTGGCAATGGGGGTAGTCCATTTTTTGACCTGTTGGTGAAAAAACAAAGAAACCATAGTAAAGCTAAAATACCAAGACCGTAGGAGAAAAATACACCATTTTTCTCAATATTTAGTTCTTGCCAGGGCCATGGGAAAGAATCAAACAAAGGTTTGAAGAATTTGAGTGACATTATTTCAGCCTAAGAGAAAAATGGGAGAAATGGCAGAAACAATGTGGTGGGAAGCCATTTTCCACTTCGACATTTATATTTAATGAAGTGAAGAAAAACCGAGAAATGGCAGAAACAATGTGGTGGGAAGTCATTTTCCACTTCGACATTTATATTTAATAAAGTGAATGGCCCCTTGTTGTGTAACACAAATGAATCTTCAGCTTTTGATACCTTATCTGTCCTGTTCACAAGACAAATAAGAAAATATTACTCCCTCTGTCCCAATTTATGTGACACATTTCGGATTTCGAGATTCAAATAAGTCTATCTTTGACCGTAAATTTTTTCTATATTTTTCAAATATTTTGAATTATCAATTATTAAAACTTATAGTACTTTTTATATAGTTTACAAATATATAAATTTCATTTTTAAAAAATTGAAGATTTCACGAGCAAATTCTCGATCAAACTTAAACTGTTTGACTCTCGAAAAGCGAAATGTGTTACATAAATTGGGACAGAGGAGTATTAAATTAGGTATATATTGAGCAAAAATATGCTCTTTTAAATCCTTTTCAGGATGTCATAGCTTTTAGAAATAATTTCACACACCTTTCTCCAGGTTTTGCTTAGTAATACTAATTTCCCTTGTGGTTTAAGTATTATATCTCCATATATAATCATCAAACAAAAGATAGAAGCATAATCTCTACAATAAAGTAATACATGTACTATTATTTCAAATTCGATCCAGAATACAATATTTAAGTAGTCATGGAAACTAGCCATTTCACATGAAACATGAGGTCCTCATAAGACCATTGCCATGATAAAGCAACATCTTTCATGGATCACATTTCCATAGTTCATCACACAAAAGATAAAATCACCATGCAGAGATATTTCTATCTTACTCATAGAGTGTTGGATTGGATAATCTTGGAGTAGGTATAGCCACCAGAGGCATTTTCTTCTTCAGAACGAGCACAAACTTCTCTGCAAAGTCTAATGTCTCTCCTTCAGGCAATTTCCAGTCGAAAGAATGAATAAGTGAAGCCAGTGAATACATGAACATCCTTTCTGCCATGGCTAACCCCACACAGATTCTTCTGTCAGAACCAAACGGGAAGTAGGTCAAATCATTTCCACTAAAGTCCCATTTATTCTCCATAAATCTTTCCGGATGGAACTCAGTTGGATTTTCCCATATAGAAGGATCTCTCTGTATAGCCCATACATTTACGAAAACACTAGATCCTTTAGGAACAGTGTATCCTCCAACAGTGACTGTCTTACTAGGACAATGAGGAACCAATAGTGGGACCGCTGGATATAGACGCAAGACTTCTTTCATAACTGCATATAAATATGGTAACTGTTGAATATGAGACTCTTCCACTATGTTTTCTTTTCCCACAACTGTATCTAGTTCTTGTTGTAATTTCCTCAAGACGCCTGGTTTGTTCATAATTTCAGTCATGGCAAACTCAACTGTGTTGGCGCTAGTTTCAG